CTTGAGTTTGGGATGACTCCTGAGGGGATGAAGGGTAATGCCAATCTAAATGTCAATATGGGATCTAACTCTCAGATGATACCTCAGAACATGAGAGAGTTTGTGACACACCCTGAGGAGATGATGAAATTACTCCCAGGTAGATCAGAAATGCTTTCTGTCCAGCAAAAGATGGTGTCCCAGCCATTTGGTGACCACCAGGAACAAAAGTATGACATGTGCCCATGCCATTCCTTCCCATGTTTCAGAGTCCTCCCTACTACAGTGACTTGTGGAATCTCAGAGAACTAATAGTTCCTGTCCAAAGGACTTACAACCATCTCAGCCATTTGCCACAACTAACTATCATCCATTCTAGTAACCCTACTAGCCTCAATACAGCACCTACAGTCCAGTGTGGACTGGGGTGGAAGTGCTTGGATATATCTGTGGCAGGCATCCATTCTTGGGTTCTACTTCTGCTTTGCCTGTTCACCTCAAGTCTACATCACTTCCTGCCCCATCAACTGGATGGACTTCCTCTCTCAAGCCTCCGTTCCAGAGTCCTGGGATCTTTCCATCTACAAAGTACCCCTCACCATGGTCTTCCCATCCATGCTGGGAAGCATGAAGTTAGGTGCCCTCCCCACCTCATACAGGCAGCCAGACTGTCTTTCTGAATATCCCTGGAAGTGTTCCCTCTAGTACACTTACACTTTACTCCAAGCTACCAGAGCCAACCCTTTCCCAGAACCCACTCGCAATTATACCTGAAATGTCCAAGTTTGCAATACACAGGTCTACCCCACTATAACATGATGCCATCTTACTGGTCAATTTCAATGGCAAATCCCCTCTAGCTTATTCTACCAACTTGCCTTTAGTGTAAAATATGCCAGGAATGGGCATCACCACAAAGAATCTTCAAATTTAAGGTTCAAACCTCATGGTTCTGATGCCAAACCTTAGCCCAATGGGACTAAGACAGCCACTTTCTTACTCCAATCAGACGACCTCTCCAAATGCCATGGGAACCAGCATGCCTCCTCTTGGGGTCCCAGTGGGGTCTAACTTAATGTCACACAATTTTATCACAGGGCATGGGTCCCAGAAGCCTCTGATTGCAACACAAGAAGGAATGAGTTTCCCTCAGGGTTTTCTTCCTGCACAGTCTCCTCCACCACAACTCCCATTCCCTCACAATGGCCCCATTGGGAACAATGCAACTTTCAGGAGGGGTGGGTTTCCCAGTACAAGTTACATTTGGGCTCCCTAGCAACCTGTTCCAAAGCTCAAAAGACTTAGGTCTTTGGAAACCTGGAGTCTGAGTGGGTCTGGACGACTTCACTGTGCTGGGGAATGACATATCTTTGGTGTTTACAGACCCAGATCTTCAGGAGGTCACCTAGCATGAACCCACTGTCCCTCTTTATTACATCTGAGAATACTAACCATACATTGCAATGTATTTCTCCAAAGGAAGTCCCAGGCTGTAAACAGCCCCAGGGTTGTGGACCTAGATTTCACACATGTAAGGTCTGATGGACAACCAATCCTTCATAATGGGACTAGCATTACCTGGGATGGGAGACACAGGGCCAGTAGGAACTGCAGACTTCCCCCTTGATAAAGCTCCATCCATGGCAGACCACTGCCCAGTGAGACTGTGAGCCTCTATCCAACAATGCATGATGGGACCTCACCATTGGAGTTTGACACCAGCAATATCTACCATGGCCAGGCTGCCCAACCTGATGAGCAACCAAGTTGCTGCTGTGGGCATGATTCCAGCAATGACTGATGGAACACCAACAGAACATCATGATTTTCCCACAGCTGTGGTCCCAGGGCACAGTGGCTGATGTGGGTATGGGTGGGTTCAGCCAAGGACCTGGCAGCCCAGGAAATGTGAGGATTTATGCTGCTAAGATTGGGCCTACTGATCCTGTTCTAGATTTGTTTCCAGGCTCTAAGAGCTGCAGTGAGGGAACTCCAGGAAGACTGACTGTTTGTCATGTAGTAGGAGAACAAAGACCCCCAAGGACTGTTTTGGGTGAAGGGAGGGTTCAAGAATGTGTGGATTTACCTGAAAACAAACTTTCATTTAATCAGCAGGTGTTTTTAGGATTCTTTTCTGTTTTTGTTCTTTAATGTGGGCTTTATTTTTTTTTGTGTGTGTATTGTACCATACTGTAAAATGGATTTTAGCAGAGACCTTAGTCTTCAGGACAACAGGAGAACAGGAATTCAGGACTGTTAACATTAGGTAGAAAATCTGACTTCAGACCCTTTTACTATTTTCTTTCAACTCCAGTGTAGAGAAAAACCAAGCTATGACCTCAGAGAAGAGTATTATAGAAAAGTACAAGAAAGGAACTAAGTTCAGTGTATAGGGGGATTTTTCTTTTTAAAATAACGAAGCTTAGGTAACTTGCTTTTCAGTCCATGTGCTCTTTGGCACAGATTGGTTATTCCAGTGTACAAACCAATCACCATACTTTTCTACTTTCCTCCCCACTCTTCCTGTCCCTTGATTAGGTGTGTTTCTTTCCCTCAGGACTGCACTGGTGGCTGTCCTCTCCTCTTCACTTTGGCAGTGGCAATACCCAAATATCTTCCAGGAAAATAACTCTACTGAAGACTTCCGTAGGAGCATCTTCCTGGCAGCAGCAGGGATGGCTCTGTGGTGTGGATATCCTCTAGAATTATCACACCCCTCACCTTTCTTTTTCCTAGTGAAGACTTTGCTGCCCACCTTGCTTTCTCTTCTCTTTCTCTTAGGAATTCTAAAGTGAATTTTATTAATGGGGAATGGGAACAGATGTTAAAACCTATCCAAGATTTTGTTTTCATTTTAAATGTTGTGATTCTTCCCTTTCCTTTCTCTGTCATGCACAAGATGTTCTTTCTAATCTTCATTAAATTTGGTACAAAACCACTTGCCAGAGTTGTGGTGTCAGAAAAATAAAATATATTGTTTCTTATAAAAAATAGAAATCATGTCCTATGATGGTGGAGAATTCACATTTTCATAAGTCTATCTCTGATGTAAGTGCTGGAGCATTCCTTTCAATTCCCCAGCATCACTCTGGATCAATTAAAATGAGAGTGTGGTAAGATGTATGGAAATCTTCAGAGATTGGAGACACAGTAGCACCGAGTCTTTCCAAAAGCCTCACATGTACAGCAAATGTGCTGAACAGGCTGTGGCACAGCACAGTCACTTCAGCTACTACCCACTATGCTATCGGTGGATTGGGCACAACTGTGGGAGCTGAACAGGCCCCGTAGGACCCACCTAGCACGAGAACTTTCCATGTTCAAAAACAGTTTCCTGTCATGAATGAATGACAGATTCAAACAGGTGTTTCCAGGAACCTTAGCACTATGCTATCTGCATTAATGGTAAGAGTTTTTGCCTAATATGCTACAGTACGTTAGGGGCTCATAAATATGAGAGTTGCTATCCTTGATTGTGAAATTTATACAGATAAGCTGTGCCAACGGAAAGAAATACTGTCCCAGCATGGTGGAACCATGAGGTAGTGAGTTGATAGTAAAAACAACAATTTCCTAAAGCCCCTCCCACTCTAATATCTTTTCTCAGAAACCTCATAAGAAGACTCCATGACCACAGAACTGTAGCATTCTGCACACCTTCATAGCCAGTTTCCAGCTCATAATTGTAGTCCCTGGTGACATGGCCCCGTTCATTTGTACCTGCCTCAGAAAAGTACATATGTTGGGAATGGGTGGCAAAAGAAGAGTCTTACATCTTTGGGACAGGAAAAGCAGGAGAGCTGTTCCTGTGGACTTTATATGACCATCACCATCTTGAAACAGGAGCTACCATGATGACTGATCGGTGAACACAGCCAGGACATGGCAACATATAGAAATATACATCATGCAACTGGGACCATCCATAGAGAGACTGTGTCATTCATTCTGTGTGCAGACCTTTGGTGCAGCTTCCAGCCTCTGGGTCATTAGTTGAAGAGGGAAACTGTTTGTCTTCAGGTGTTCACTGGTGTTTCAAGTTACAAACGTATGCAGGTTCAGGCAATCCAACTGGTAATGTTTAGCATGTATAGTTGATAATGTTAGAGATGTGGCTTATGTGTTCTGCTTTAAAAATTACATAGGGATAGTGTTACCAGGTAAATACAATGTCCATCTTAATGAGATAGGTAGCTGGAGGACATGCATTCATTGACAACAACTCTTCAAATTTACAACTTCACTCATACTTTTACTTTAACAACAGGCTTACACTCATCCAGCGTTTTGGAATCCTATTCCTCCTCAAATATTTTTTTCATGAACACTAGCTATCTAACCTACATGGTTTCAAATAATCTTGTTCACATAATGGATAGTGAATAATACCTGAGCTGCCTTAAACTCTAGGGTCTGTGAAGGACAGAAGCCCAAACTGCCTAGTGACATCCATCATTATGTGCAGAAG